CTTCCTTCCTTCCTTCCTTCCTTTCTTCCTTCCTCCCCCCCTCCCTCCCTCCCTCCCTTCTTTTCTTTCCTTTTCCTATGCTGCCCAAATCCTGGCCTCAGATGATTGTGTGTTAGCCTCCCTAAAACTGGAACTGTAGGTTCACCTCATAGCCACAAAAACAAAACCAAACAAAACAAACAAACAAACAAAAAACCCACAACAACAAAAAAACACACATTTCAAGGATGTTTTATATATATTAGTTTTTGGTGGTTCTGAGGATCAGACTCTGGGCCTTTGGCAAGTTGAGCACTGTAGCCCTAAGCTATTCAGTTAAGCCTTGCACTTTTTTAAAATTATACTTGCAAAAACTTAATTTGATTGTAATTTCTGCTGCATTCATACATTGGAAATTGAGGTTTTCTTAGAAGATTGGTCAGGCATTTTTGAGCTCACAGTTCTCATAAGGAGAATTGATTATTTTGTCTACATGATTATGATTTAGGAAATGATTATGCTGTGTGTTAAAAACTGTACTGTCCTCTTTGTGCAATTGTGTTGATACCACACAATTGTGTTGAGAAGGATTCCTTGGAATGTTTCTAGGAAATACTGATTCATCACACTTACTGATCAGCTGAATTAAGATAGTCCAACCTGGGCATCTCTATTTTTTAATCAAGCTACTTCTATGGCATGTCTGCACACTGGAGTTGATGTTAACATAGAACACAAGCTACTCTGGTACCTGCTTTATGTAAGATTAATCATAGGCTGCAGCTGGAGCCTAGTGGATATAGTACTGAGGCCCTACATGCACATACCACACACTTTGTCTTTCACATTGTTCATGTGTAATGATAATTTGGGGGTAGTGTTTATTATAAATTGAAATGAGTCAGCAAGGAATATTCAGGCAGCAAAAATATTTTGTTCTTTCTGCTTTTAGCTCTTTATTTGTCAGTCTGTCCTGTGCAATTGTTTTGGGGTAATGATTTCTTACACTAGCCCTAAGGGGACTGCCCAGTGCCACCTCAGCTTTCTTTACTAATTTCTCACTGGTTTCTGTACCTTTTATTACACCATATTTTGGTTTCTTGCTGTCAACTCTTTTTAGAATGCCTGGAGTGCTCACTCAACCACCACCACCTCCTCCTCCTCCTCCACCTCCTTCATTATACAGGGTTTCTCTGTGTAGCCCCTGCTGTCCTGGAACTCACTCTGCAGATCAGGCGGGCCTTGGACTCACAGAGATTCACTTGCCACTTACTCCCTAGTGCTGAAATTAAAGACGTGCCCCACCACCACCCAGATCACTGATCCTTTTGAGTCCATCCTTACCTCCTGTTAGTTCATCTTGCCTCTGCTTTAGTCTGTTCCTGGATCTCCTAAGAACATTGGGTACCTCTAAAGATATTTCTGTTTTCTTAGTGTGTCTGCACTTGATGTTTATACAATAGAAGCTCCTTGGATGTCATCTCTACTTCTCCCTGTTGTTTCTGTCAGGATATGGCTTGGTGTTAAATGTCTGCCGTGTTCAGGCAGTGTTGCTGGTTTTCTTGTACTTCCAGGTCCTGCAGCTGCTTCAGCCCCAAATAAGCACATGGACACTATATTAGTTATAAAACTGTTGGCTGGTGGCTAGTGCTTCTTGTTGGCTAACTCTGTCTTAATTATTAACACATAACTACTAATCTATGTATTTCCACGTGGTCTTGGCTTACTGGAGAATAAATACCTGAACTTGCTACTCCTTTGGTGGTCTACATGGCGACTGTCTTTGGTGGTCTACATGGCGACTGTCTTTGTTGGGCTCCCTCTGCCTATCTTTCCCAGTATTCTC